CTCTGAGTGATGCTGCAGATGAGAAACACCCCCACACCAAACAGGCACCCAGAGGAGCCACCCCCACCCAAATTCTCACTGCAGGAGCAGAATTGCCCTGGCCTGATGAGCAGCACTCAGGCAGCACAGAAGCACACAGCAAGGCTCCCCGTGTGTGTCCAAGAGCTCAGGCTCCCAGCTGCACAGATATGTGTCAGCACATGCCGTGGGCAGCACCAAGAAAGGAGGTCAAGCAGAAAGCAGCACTGACTCACATCAGGCACATGTGGGGCTCCACAGCAGTTTGGTCTCAAGCACAAAACACAACTGCACAGGCAATGGGAGCTGATGCTGCTGCAAACCTCCCAGCGCCTGGTCTTTGTTCTTTTTTCCCCAAATCATGACTTATTTTTATATAGTAGTGCAGAAAGATCCCTCTGTTGCAACAGAAACCATAAACTGCTCTTAGCAGTGAGTGCTGAACATGAAGTGCACTGTGGCAAGAGGAGCAAATCACTGACAAATGTTGTCAGAGATTTCTCATCTGCACCACTAACGCAGCAACTGAAATTATCCAGCACATACAGAAGATCCTGTCAGGTCTCTGGGGGGTTATTCCCAACCTGTAGTTTTAGGGACCCAATCCTATAAATCCCCTAAAGTGTGTGAAAATGGTCAACATCAACCGTGAGCATGAAGGGCTGAGGCACCATTAAAAATAACAGGAACACAACTCCCTACCACGTTCAAAGCTGAAACCCTCCAGCCCCAGCTATCTCATCTAACCTAATAATTAATTGCAAATAACATTAAATATGCAACATGTCTCTCTCTTGGCCATTTCCTGCATGTTGGATTTGCTCACCCAAACCAAATTCTCCTCCCCAGTACATCACAGAAGGCTCACAAATATTTGCATCTCTCATATGTGGCAGAGGTACCTTTCCTTCTGGATTTTTCATTAATTATAACATTTTTAAAAAATCCGTTTTAGCGTTCCAACTACAACAGAAAGAAAATGAAAACTAAGTTTATACTTGGGAATTTTCTTGGCTGTAAGATAAAATTAGAAGACATGCAATGTCAAATCTACTGATCTAATTGAAGGGAAGGCAAGATGAGGCCCAGAGAGGCATGGACAATCCATCGGAGGAACAGCTCCATTTAAAAGAGGACACAGACAAAAAGATAAAATAGAAAGGAAAAACATGACAAGATAACAAAGCCTAACAGAAGTCAAGGTTCTTTTCAAGTATAAGGTAAAAAAGGTGTCAGGCAGTGGATATGTGTTTGAAGAGCACAACACTTTTGATCCATTAATGTGAATCCAAGTTGGGAACAAAGCAGGTGGAAATGACTACAGTGACCTTGGACAGGTGTGGAAAAAACACCCTTTGCTTAAATCTGTTTTAGAAGGAAGGACAAGAAAAAAGAAAAAAATTCAAAACTCCCAAATGACAAGAAAAGACTTGTTAAGCTGATTCTCTTTTACTTCCTCAGATGCACAGGACTGGCAAAGAGAGCAAGGAGGGGAATGTTCTTCCAAGGACTTGGAATACACATCAAATCTGCCTGCAAATGCTCCAACCCAAGCTATAGAGCATTAGCAAACGGCAGAGTGTAAATCCAGAGACAATTACCTGACACACGGTAAAGGCATCACCAGGAAAAGCCCCAGCTCATCCCTGGAGCACAGTCTCAGGCACACACACAACCTCTGCACAAGTCCAAGCAGAAGAACTCCTGTTCCTGGGACTGGGCTCTACAAAGGGCAGGGGACCTGTGTGAGCCAGCCCAGAAACAAGGAATTGCTTGCCAAAATCGGCTGTGACAGCCCTATTTCTCAAACTGTATGTGAGCAAAGCACACCCACTGCTTTCTAGGGTCCAAATACTGGAGGTTCTGAGGGAAAAATACTTTTGCCAATTTACTTCCTTTGTTCTGTTCAGGCTGTGTTGTGAGGGATGACCCTCCCCAGTGAGGAATTAAGCACAAGTGTATCAGGCTGAAGGGTGCCCAGAGATCTGTAAAACATGGGGGTGTCTTTGGGTCACCCCTGTGACCTCTGCTTTCCTACCACAGCCTGAGACCTCGGCACTCCAAAGGTTCCCACACAGCATTTGAGGGGAAAAGATGAAAGCAGCTGAATGTCAGTGCTGAGGAAGCTGCTGTCAGATTTATGGTGAAGGAGATTAACAGCAATGCCACGTGCTGAGGAGCAAAACAGCTTCACTGCACACCCACTCCTCCCTGCAAAACTTCCAGCGACTGACAGCTGGTACCTGACAGCTCCGTGAGATCCGAGCTGCCTCCACACGAGCACGGCAGTGGTGGCAGCCAGCTCTGCAGCCAGCTCAGCCTGCACGGACCACACCAGACTGAAATGCTGCTGGACAACAGCAGATCCTGCTGGGAGCACGGGATTTTCACAGGACATCAGGGGGAGGGGGTCTATATTCTGCTCTCTGCTCCACAGCACAGTCTGCTGAGTGACCCTGGAAAAGGAACTTGTTCATAAGAAAGAGGACTAACAACTTTGCTAGGATTTGCTGAACGACCAAAGGATGACATTTACAACCCCAGCCCTCAATTCCCAGGGAATTTTAAGTTCTGTTATGCCGAAAAACTGAAAGCAAATAAAATTAAACCACTGCAAAATTATGCCTACCAGCCCCTGGCCTTTAGGCACGTGCTAACAAGCTTACAAAGGATTTGTCTCAAGGCAGCCCTCCTCAATTAGCAGCCAATCGACTGAGGAGCATCTGGTGGTAGCTTTATCCTGGTAATAGACACAACGAGAATGTGGAGAGGTGTGCTCGGAGCAAAGGCTCCTGGGATCCTTATCACAGGTACTGGTGTCTTATTCTCACACAGGATGCACTGAGAGAGCAAAGAGCACGGCCAGGAAAGCCTCACTGCCACAAACATCAGCCCCAGACTGGTCAGGGCAATTCTGTGGCAGGTTACTGGTTTAGCTGTGAACAGACATGGCCAATCTGGATAAGAGTGGGGGGAAAAGGGGTGGGTTTGGGAGGGAGCTCAGCTGTCAGCAAAAGCAATGTTCATCTGGATGATCAGAGAGCAAAGTGAGCAGCAGCCACTCTCAGCTGTGGCTGCCTTTGGGGTCCCCTATTCACAATGAAGAACAAACTGATGCCCCCGGTTTTCATGGTTGAAATAAAAGGTTGGAGGCTGTTTTGGATGAAACAGATCTCAAGGCATGTATTTCTCAGAAATCTTGAAGAGGCCACATTGTCAAGAGGAACTCAATAGAGGCTCTCCCTTCCATTCATGGAAATCACATCAGCTGCAGCTTTCCATCTTCATTCCGGGCTCCCATAAACTAAAGGAACTGGGAACAGGAACTGGGGAAGCAGCAGGCTAAAAGTGGCCAACACCAAGCCTAGGGATCCCTTCAGCTGACTGAAATGTCCAGCAGATTACAAAACAAAACCTTGCATGATTCCATAAGCAAGCTCTTCTAACAACACACAAATGCTGCCCATGAAATGCAGCAGCAAACCTAATTGTGACAAAGTCCAAAATACCACAAAGAAACTCTGCCTAAAGCAGCTCCCATGGTCAACATCAGCCTTCTGCATCACCAGTGAATGAACTTCAGTGACAGCCCTCAAGTCCCTCGTGGAAATCACAAGATTTGGAGAGAGGTTTCCTGACAGTTCAATCACAGAGTGGATGGGGAAGAACAATACAGAAGACTTTTTCCAAAGATTTCCAGCCTTTAACCAAATCAAAAAGCTCAGTATTATCCTGAATGCAGTTGTAGATCCATCCATACTATGGTGCTGATTGGGATAACATCTGGACAGATTCTGAACTGAGTAGCATTTGGTGATATGGCAAAGAAGGTGTCTGGCCACAAACTGACCCTGCCTAACTATGTCAATTTTTCTTCCTTCCTTGTCAAAGTCGGCAAAGTGAGCAGCAGCCACTCTCAGCTGTGGCTGCCTTTGGGGTCCCCTATTCACAATGAAGAACAAACTGATGCCCCCGGTTTTCATGGTTGAAATAAAAGGTTGGAGGCTGTTTTGGATGAAACAGATCTCAAGGCATGTATTTCTCAGAAATCTTGAAGAGGCCACATTGTCAAGAGGAACTCAATAGAGGCTCTCCCTTCCATTCATGGAAATCACATCAGCTGCAGCTTTCCATCTTCATTCCGGGCTCCCATAAACTAAAGGAACTGGGAACAGGAACTGGGGAAGCAGCAGGCTAAAAGTGGCCAACACCAAGCCTAGGGATCCCTTCAGCTGACTGAAATGCCCAGCAGATTACAAAACAAAACCTTGGGAGATTCCATAAGCAAGCTCTTCTAACAACACACAAATGCTGCCCATGAAATGCAGCAGCAAACCTAATTGTGACAAAGTCCAAAATACCACAAAGAAACTCTGCCTAAAGCAGCTCCCATGGTCAACATCAGCCTTCTGCATCACCAGTGAATGAACTTCAGTGACAGCCCTCAAGTCCCTCGTGGAAATCACAAGATTTGGAGAGAGGTTTCCTGACAGTTCAATCACAGAGTGGATGGGGAAGAACAATACAGAAGACTTTTTCCAAAGATTTCCAGCCTTTAACCAAATCAAAAAGCTCAGTATTATCCTGAATGCAGTTGTAGATCCATCCATACTATGGTGCTGATTGGGATAACATCTGGACAGATTCTGAACTGAGTAGCATTTGGTGATATGGCAAAGAAGGTGTCTGGCCACAAACTGACCCTGCCTAACTATGTCAATTTTTTTTTCTGTCCTTGTCAAAGTCAAAGAATAATTACAGAAGGTTGGATTTTCTTGTTTGTTTGCCTTCCCTTCCAACAACTAAACTGCCATTCTTAATGCTGAGATACTGATCCTTATTTTTCCTGGAAAACTGGAGGAGGGGAGCTGAGGCTGTGTTCCTGCAGCAGGACTGTCACAGACATCCAGCCAAACCCACAGTCCCCCACCTCCCACTGGCCCTCAGCAGCTGGAGCAGGGAAAGTGCTGAGTGTTACTCACTGCCATGACGAGCTCAAAAGGGTATTTGTAGACTCGAACTGGGGACTGGTATTTCTGCACCATTTTTACCACACACCTGTAATAGAGAGAAATTGGAACATTTTAGATCCCCCACACCAAGCCATGCAATACTTTCTAGGCGATTTTTACAGGCATTACTAGAAGTTGTAGCTCTGTACAAACAGTGAGGAGATTCATTAGGTAGAATATCTTGCCTAGTAAGTGGCAGAGACAGAGGCAAGTCTCTGCAGTCCCAGTTCAGAGCTGTGCCCAGCATCCTGTGCTGCTTGCCAGCACTACTGCAATAAATTCAACTTGGAGCTCCAACAAAACTCACAATAATTAAAGCACAGTACAGAGATGTAAAGCCAGAGTGAATTGTACTCTGGACAAGGAACCTGTCTTAGGAGCCTTACAGAGCCTACCTAGCAATTCTTTCCCCTATCCCCCCTCTCTACATTATATCTGTAATCGTTAGGGCAAAATCTTTCTCATTGAAAGCTTCCACAGCTTCCCATACCTTAATGTTTTAAATGCTTTTGTGCACAAAGTAGGATTCAGTTGTTTTAGCTCACTGAAAGGAAGGAAAAGGAAGCAGCATGCTGAAAGAACATGCTTGATGCTAAGCTGGCAATCACATCCCACTGCCTGGATGCCCACTGTTCCAGCTGAACTGAGGCAAGAACTGCAGGGAGCAGGAACACTCCTGTCCTCAGCATTTCCCTGCTCCCAGCCACCTCTCACTGTCCTCATCAGGATTCCTCCCTCAGACTCTCCTGCCCGGCTTTTAACCCTCAAACATGCACCAGTAACCAAAATCTCAAGGGAAGTACACAAATCAGTATAAAAAGCATTATTAGGTTGCTTTCTGCAATTCCTTTAGGAATTCCTTTGTCCTGCTCCTGCCAATACCATCCACGAACATCAGGACACAAAAGGTTGGATGGCTGGTTGGAGGCTCTGTGCTCATTGCACCCCACTCAAATTCCACTGCTGAGCAGACACAGCCCTCGGCAAGTGACGCACTGTAGCGCTGAACTCAACAGTCAGAGCACTCAGACAACTTATCCCTGACATTTTCAGCCCAAACCGGAGGTGAAACATGAATAGGCAATAGATTCTCCCTCAAAAATTGCTGCAAAATGCCATCGCACTGTAAAATCTATGCAAGGGCGAGAGAAAAAGGACTTGAAAAGTTTGAGTACCTGAGAATAGGGGGTTTTTGGAGAAATAGGGCCCAGCAATCAGACAGTTCCTCTGCAGAGGATTACATTACCCAAGCAGCAAAGGTCAGGGCTCACTGGATCTCTCAGTCTCACTGGTGCTAAAAGCCAGCCCATGCCAAGGCAGTCAATGCAGAGAACCTCCCAGCAGAGCATCCAACCCAGAGTGCAGCGAGAGGAGCAGCACAAGCACATCCCAGGAAGCCCGGGCTGCTATCAGGTATCAGATACCTGAGCCAAGAGGCACAGCACAGGGCACCTTGGAACAGGACCTGTAACATGAGGAGGCTGGGCAGGGACCCTCCCGTGAGTGCAGATGGAGCAGGAGAGGCCTCCTCAAGCACATTTAGCTGGGATCTTGCTTATTCTGACCTCACCTCCTATGCCAGGAATTCCTGCACCTCTGCAAAAGGTCAGAAACCTCCACAGCAGGAAGGCTCAAGACAGACCAGTCTACAATCACCCACAGAGGCACCAGCCACAGAACAGTGGGATGGCACAAGCTGTAGCTCAGCAGCCTTAACTGTGCAGCCTGGACAGAGCCACTGCTCCCAGCAGCTGCTGGACCCAACTGGCACAGATTTATTGCCTCTGTGCTCCTCCAGCTGAGGGAAGGCTGGAGAAAAGAGCCAGTGAGTATTACACCCACAGGAAGCTGTGGAAGAATGGCAGCTGATAACTCACACCTGCCCCTTTCATACCTCAGCAGAGTGCAGTGGCAGCAGACCTTCTATGCCCTCTCCTGCAAACAGAGCTGTGAAATGGTCATTGTGCTTCTCAAAGCAACGGGGACTTCTGCTGTAAGTCCTGGAAAAAAAGGAAAAAAATATCAGAAAAGGCAATGAAAGGTGGCTACTTGGAACACCAGGCTGAAGATAATGATTAGTACTGATGAGAACAAAGAGTCCCAGGTGTTACCATTGGGCATCTGGGCCACATTAACTCATGATGTGCATCTTACCAGGGCTTTAGCACCAAAGACAGATGTGTTTTTAAATTCATCTCATGTTCCCCTCAAACTATAAACAGGTATGTTCAACCACCAGAAAGAAACCACCCAACCAGAGAGTATGTCTGCTCCTCAAACACCCTTCCAGCTCTGCAGTGGCCCAGGCTCCCTGCTCCACTTCCTATTTGCATCTGGCTAAAAAAACATATTAGGGAAGACAACTCAGGTGAAGGACAGTGACCCACTGAATTGCAGCAGGACCACTGAGAAACCCCAATCCACAGGTGGAGGCAGACATGGAGCATCCATAGGGAAACACCAGAAAAAGGCTCAATGCCAGCTGGCCAAGCCCACAGTAGTTGATAAAAGCTCAGAGGCTGAAGTCATCAATGCATTGAAGCAACAAATCTGGCTACTAACAACCATCCCAATAATAGCAACCCTGACCATCCCAGTAGATATTAAAAGCATTTAAATTCTTGCACAGCTGAACACAGAAAGCAGCAGCAGCCACCACATTTCACAAAGCATCCTGTGACACACTGTGCCAACAACAGTGAGCCCTGAGAGCCTCAGCTCCCTGGGCACCCCTTGTGCTGCAGCCCACACAGCAACTCCTCTGTGAACCAAGCAGAGAGAGCTCATTACAAGCTCCAGATCCACCTGCCGGGTGCTCCAGGGAAGGAGGTGGGAAGAGGAGGGATATGGACCCCTGAGGGCACTTGCTGTAATTCTGGAGCATTGCAGAAATGGATTCTGAAGGAGCCATGGTGCTCCCCCAGCACAGGAGCCAGGCCTGTGAGGGCTCCCGTGAGGAACACACATGGCTACACAAAGGGACAGGCAGTGACAGTAACTGTGTCTCCTTCTCATCCAGAATCACCCCCTGCACACCTGAGGGATTTTCCATATGTTTGACTTCTATTCTATTATTTGTAGGAGCAGCTTACTCGACAGAATGCAGCCAGATGGTTGGAAATCAGGAACTGAGTGTATAGATTAAATACCCAGAAATCCCTGAATCAAACCCCCCACCCCAGAACTCACTCTGCTCCTTCCTCACTGGAGCTGCCTGTTGGATGTGGCACTGGCAGCAAGTGACTTTATTAACTTCTCCCACCTGTGGTGGCTGCTTTTCATCTTGAAGAGAACTGAGCAGGTTTTTTGTTTTGTTTTTGACAAAGAACTGCTGAAAATAGCAGGATTCTTGACTTCCTCAAATACCATTACACCACGTGAAAGCCAGCTGTGGCACCCAGCTAAGCTGATATTTCCAGTTAGAAAAGGGGGACTCCACAGGGCTGCATTCTTTCCTCCTGCCTTCTGGAGAAAGGTGTGTGACATTTCCTCTGCCTGGGGCCCCTTTCACTTAGAGATATTGTAATTGATGCTTTACACACAGAATAACAGCACAGCACCAAGCTGTAGGATATCTATTAGAGCTTTTTCACCTGAGAACTTAAGAACAAGTCTCTTGAAGCTTGATGTAAGGAAGGCCCAAGGCAGAATGGTGCCAGAATAAACCTTTACCATTTTTTAGAAGCAGACATCTGCTCAGGCAGGGCTTAATCTTGCCCCTGAGAAACACCTCTGGAGCAGGTGAAGCAGCATGGAGGGTGCAGGTCCTGTGCTGAGGTGGAGCCTGGGCACTGCTCCAGAGCTACCTGGAGTCCTGGCAAGGATCAAAACCAAAGACAAGCAACACAAGCACCCAAACAACAACATCTATACATTCCTGACCGCACAATGAAGAAGTCTTTTTGGCTGAGGGGAAGAAGGAAATGGAGCTGTGTCCAGCACTCTGCTCTCAGAGCTGTTTCTCTTCCATGTGCGTATCACAACAAGCCCCACGCCAAATATTTCCACACATCCATCTCATAAAGTAATTTCCTCACCAAAGAATCACCATGGAACTTTTATGCACAGCAATACATTAACTCCCTGATATTTGCCAGCCTGCAGCAGGAGATAAGCATTCCTGAAGTAAACCCCTCATTCTCCACCTTACTACTCCACAGGAAGTCATACCACATCCATTTATCCATCCACTGTAGAAAATATTTCAATTCTCAAACACAATTTAAGAGTGGGAGACACAAAATCCTGGAATGGTCTGGGTTGGAAGGGACCTTAAAGCCTATCCTGTTTCCCCCCCATGCATTGGACAGGGACATGTTCCACTGTCCCAGGCTGCTCCAAGCCCCATCCCACCTGACCTTGAACATTTCCAGGGATGGAGCAGCCACAGCTGCTCTGGGCACCCTGTGCAAGGGCCTCATCACCCTCCATCCCTTGTCCCCAGTCCCTCTCCAGCTCTCCAGGAGCCCCTTTAGGCTCTGCAAGGGGCTTTGAGCTCTCCCTGGAGCCTTCTCCTCTCCAGGTGAGCACCCCCAGCTCTGCCAGCCTGGCTCCAGAGCAGAGGGGCTCCAGCCCCTGGGGCATCTCCATGGGCTCCTCTGGACCCACTTCAACAAGTTCACATCCTTCTTCTGCCAAGGACCCCATGCTTCAGTTCAACACATAAATCAAGAGCAGAACCAGGCAACAGCTCACTCGACAGTACAACAAAGCACCAGCAAACTGTTTCAGTCTGCCCTGAGTGAAGTCTGCAGCTGTATTTTCCCTGAACAGAGGCTGGCTGTCATCAGCCCCACCAGATAAGTGGTGCCATCAACACAAGCACCTTCTCACCATCGACAGACCAATTTTACTGCTTGGAGAAGTTCAGCCAAGTGACCCAGAGAATATACCTGGTTCACCTTGAAGCTGACTTGAAAACATGGAATCACAGAATGGTTTGGAAGGGACCTTAAAGCCCATCTCGTTCTAGCCCCTGCCAAGGGCTAGCTCTAGCCCCACCACCCCAGGGTGCTCCAAACCCCGTCCAGCCTGGTCTTGGGCACTTCCAGAGATGGGGCAGCAACAGCTTCTCTGGACAACCTGTTAAATCCATCAGTGCACTAACAGCATTGATCAGGGTCACCCTTTGTGTTCATAAATACTTCAGGGCGAGTTTCAGGGTGGATCTGTTGAACCCCGAGCCCCGGGGAGTGCCCGGCTCTCCGGAGCCGCTGGGGCTGGAGCCGGGGTCCCACTCGCAGCCGCCTCCAGGGCTCGGCCCGCCGGGAGCGAGCCCCGCCCGCGCTGCCCCCGGCACGGCACGAACGCGACAACTCCAGAACCGCTGCGTTCTGCCCTTGGACCCCAGCGGATCCCCCACACCCCGAGCCCACCCCAGTCTTCACCGGCTCCTTCCCTGATCCCACAGCATTATGACTAAAATTCCCTTCTCGGCTTCCCGTGTCCGGAGGAGAGCGGCTCCCGGCGCCCCCACACCGACCCACCGGCCCCGCTCCGCCGCCTCACGACGCGCCCGGGCACGCGAGGCAGGGAAAGCCTCACACCCACCCCCCCTCCCGCCCCTCCCTCACACGGCGGCCCCGAGGGACCCCCGGAGAGCGCTGCCCACCGCAGCCGCCTCCCGTATCGCACCCCATATTCCCGAGCCCCCTGCCCGGCTCCCGCCCGTCCCGCTCCCCCTCACCGCGGGCGCGGCGCAGCCCGGCCGGACCCATCCCGCTCGCGGCGGCTCCCGCGGCTGCGGCGGCCCCGCCCC